TCTATTACAGATAGTGATGACAAAGCAGTTTTCCAGTGCAAAGCATGGTTCTTACAGCCTATTATGTAAACATTTACATAAGGTGGGATTGGCCTCTTTAAAATGCTTGAAGAAATGGCAAAGCAGCAAAGAGGGGAACATCTGAATAGTTACTTGTGTGCATTTAGGAGATGGATTGTATTTTTCCTACCCCAACCTGATCAGAAGATGGCTCGAGTAAAGCCTTAATCTGGAGATGGCAATGCAGAGAGGGGCCTATGATCAGTGCAAGCCATGAGAGAATCTTGGGTGACAATTATAAATGGTTTAACAGGGAAACTTCATAAGTTCATCATCTGCTGATGAAGGAAAATAAACTGCTAGCTATGGACCAGATGATATGAGGACTTGAAAAAGTGCAAAATGGTGTTTCCTTAAATCTATCAGTATCGACTGTTATTTCCCAACCCCAGAGTAACTTCTTAGCAGCTCATTGAAAAAAGATTGCAAAGGAAGTGGTTCAAAAATTGGAGGAGGCTCAGATGTAAGCTATTCACAGATCTCCCAGGGGTCAGCTAAGAGAGAATGTTTCCCAAGTGGGTCCCAGCTCAGATGACACTTGCAGCCAATGCAGTGCCAATGGCCAATGGACATGGATTTGCAAAGAAGAAGGAAGCCACATCAAAGAAAACAGGAATTTTCTTAGTCATCATCAGTAACTATTAGAAAGTCCATGTGAAGAGCGGCCCAAACACCTGCTAATGTGTCTGATTACTTCAATGGCTGGAAAATCACAATGTTGGTGCACTCAGGATCTGAAATAATCTGATCCATAGAGAATATCCAGGGCCAAAGGGGGAAAGATTTATATTGTAAGAGTGAAATTGTGCAACATTAATCATCGGTAGGGCCCTACCAATTTTCATCCATGAAAAATATCATGGACAGTGAAATTAGCTCTGCCCCATCAAGTCTGCTGTCTCAGGGTATGTCTACACTACCACCCTAGTTCTAACTAGGGTGGTTAATGTAGTCATACAAACTTGCAAATGAAGCCCGGGATTTGAATTTCCTGGGCTTCATTTGCATGTTGCCGGGCGCCGCCATTTTTAAATGTCCGCTAGTGCGGACTCCGTGCCCGCGGCTACACGTGGCACGAACTAGATAGTTTGGATTAGGCTTCCTATTCCGAACTATCTGTACACCTTGTTCCACGTTTCACGAGGCGTACAGATAGTTCGGAATAGGAAGCCTAATCCAAACTATCTAGTTCGTGCCACGTGTAGCCGCGGGCACGGAGTCCGCACTAGCGGACATTTAAAAATGGCGGCGCCCGGCAACATGCAAATGAAGCCCAGGAAATTCAAATCCCGGGCTTCATTTGCAAGTTTGTATGACTACATTAACCACGCAAGTTCGTATGACTACATTAACCACCCTAGTTCGAAGTAGGGTGGTAGTGTAGACATACCCTCAGAAACTAGCCAAGCTGGAGAGGGACAGGATTTCCCCTTCTCAGCTGTTATTGGAAGGAGATCAGATGACATCTCTACAGGCAGCACAGAAGTGAGGTCATTTCTGTTATGGTCATTCCAGTGAGGTCATTTCTGTGCTGCTGCAGCCCTAGAACTAGGCTCCAGGCTCCTGCATAAGCTCAGGCCTCTTCTCCCCCCTGCAGCTCCTGCAGGGGATGGCTCCAGCTCAGGGTTGCCCCACCTCACAGCTCCAATACCTGCAACTTCTGCCTAGCTCGGGGCTTCTGTCCTGCCTGGGCTCAGAACTCCAGCTCTGGGATGGCTGCCACTGCTCCTCCTCTCCTTCCCCCTGCAGTTCCTGGAGCACTCAAGCTCCAGGGGATCTGTTCTCTGCCCCCTTGTGGCTCCTACTTGGGATCAGGTCTGCTGGGTTCTGGGACTGCTGCTGCCCTTCCCTTCCCTTCCCTTTTCTTCCTCTCTTCCCGTGGCTCCTACCTGGGCTCCAGAGGCCCAAGCTCTGGATTTGCTGCTGCTGCCATCTCCTTCCCCTTCCCTACCATACTCTTACCTGCTGCGTTTCCCGCCTAGGCATCACCAAATTGCATATAGGCCTCTGTTCTCCTTACCGCCTCATTGGTAGAAGATCACTGAAACACCTGGAACCAGCTTTGGACACCACCAGGCAGGATCCTTAGAAATTATTCCATGATTAAAATGCCCTCTGCCTTTTCCAGTGAATTCATGTTGGGCTAGACCCATTTTGTTGTCAGGTACCGTAGCCACAGTGCCGCCAAACAACGGTATATTTCCCACGGGAAAGCTTTCCTGGAGTGTAGGGCTGGTGTGCATCTGGTATCAGCCCTTGTCTATCCAGAATGGCCTCTTTTACCATTTTGTAGGACGGCCATCAGGCAAAGGCTGTTGGATACCTGAGCTTTTCCTGAATGGAAGGGGGCCACTCGAGCTGCCCAAGAGGATCACACTTGCTAGTGTGACTGCTGCCTTCCTGAAGCCGCACAAATGCACCTTGGCTCCTCTTTGGGACTGAATTTTGACAGACCCAGTAGGTGTCGGATTTCTCGTCTTTGTGAGCCAGCCACCTGAGTTCCTGGGTTCACTTCTTGAGGCACAGCAGGAAATGCTCCTATTGAGCATGCTGAGCCTCTCACTACTGTAAACATAAGAATGACCGCACTGGGTCAGACCAATGGTCCATCTAGCTCAGTATCCTGTTTTCTGGCAGGGGCCAGTGACAGGCGCTTTTTACTTTGCTTATCTGCTTTTACACGGACTATTATCATTATCCAACCTTTGCGAACTTTCCAGCTGGAAAGATGAATATTTGACTCTTGCTGCATTTGCTAATAAAATTCTTATTCAGTCTGTATCCTTATTTCAGTTTGATTAAAAGCATCCGGTCCTGTCTCCAGGCATTTCTAGCAAAAATATAATAGATAAAATCTCCACATGCTATATGTTTAGACACATGTTCAGTGAGGCCTGCTGACAGGGCAGGAGGGGAGGGGCAAAAACTGCGGGCCCTTTAAATCCCTGCCAAAGCCCTGTGTGATGCACAGCAGAGACCCAGGCAGTGTGCTCCAGAGATCTCAGCTGCAAAGATCCCACCCCTTCCAGGAATGCAGCACCCACCCCTCCCCCACCCCGAACTTGCTCAGAGGCCCAGTGACAAGGGTGCCATTTCAGATTTTGGAAGGGGAAGGGATGACCTGTGCATGCCAGGATGAAGGCGGAGAGTGGGGGGAAGAGTTAAAGAATGGGGAGCGGACTGAGGCTTCAGCAGTGTTACCGAGCATGCTCAGGTACAAGCCAGACATCAATGCAGCACCCACCCCTCCCCCACCCCGAACTTGCTCAGAGGCCCAGTGACAAGGGTGCCATTTCAGATTTTGGAAGGGGAAGGGATGACCTGTGCATGCCAGGATGAAGGCGGAGAGTGGGGGGAAGAGTTAAAGAATGGGGAGCGGACTGAGGCTTCAGCAGTGTTACCGAGCATGCTCAGGTACAAGCCAGACATCAAGTGGCCAAGAGAAAAGGCCCTGGAAATCTCTATTTTTTTTTTTTGGCAGACAACTTAGCACTTAGCTGACAGGAGCACTGTATCTAATTCTTCTGTAAAAGAAATACAATTAATTAAATATTAGATCCTCTCAGCTCGAACACGAACATATTCTGACATCTTGTGGCAAGTCACTTAAGGGACACTGGTTAGCCTTAATATTTTAATGTATATTCTTACTTTGTTATTAACTCTGTGGAGGGTGACAGACCCTGTCAGGACTGCTGGGCGCTATCTCAGCTCTGAAAGGGTTGTGGGGTCCAGTGGGTTACAGCAGGGGGCAGATACATTTAATCTCTATATAAGAACATCAGAATGGCCATACTGGGTCAGACCAATGGTCCTGCTAGCCCTGTATCCTGTCTTTCAACAGTGGCCAATGCCAGGTGCTTCAGAAGAAATAAAGAGAAGAGGCAATCATCATGATCCATCACCTGTCACGCGTTCCCAGTGCCTGGCAAACAGAAGCTAGGGACCCAATCCAAGCCACTGATGGACCTATCCTCCTTCAATTTATTTTGTTCTTATTGGAATCCTGTTATGGTTTGGGCTTTTCCACCATCTCCTGGCAAAGAGTTCTACAAATTGATTGTGAAAAAATAATTTACTTTGTTTTAAATCTGTTGCCTATACATTTTATTGGGTCAGCTTCTTGTGTTATGTTAGTGAAGAAATAAATAACAGTTCCTTATTCTTTTTCCTACACTGTTCATGATTTTCTAGCCATCTAACATATCCCCCCATCCTTTAGCCATTTCTTTTCCAAGCTGAAAAGTCACAGTCTTGTTAATCTCTCCTCATATGGAAGCTGCTCCTTACCCCTAATCATTTCTGTTGTTCTTTCTGTACCTTTTCCAAATACAATCTATCTTTTTTTCAGATGGGTTGACCAGATCTGCGTACAGTACTCAAGATGTGGGCATAGCATGACTTTATCTAGAGGCAATATGGTATTTTGTTTTAATATCTGCTCATGTCCTAATGATTCCTGTTATTTTGTTAGCTTTTTAGTTTTTAGACTGTCACTGCACAGTAATACAAATGCAGATCCCTACAGCACAACACTCATTCCTCCTCTTTCCCCCTTATCTTTTAAGTGGAGTATCCAGCAATGTTTTCATGATGATGTAATGATTCCTCAGTTACTGGAATGCCCAGCCTTTTGTTATTCTTAATCACCCCACCCCTCTCTCTTTTCATAACAGACTCCCTGTCCCAAAGGCAAAGCTGCAAGCAGCTCAAATTCAGTTGCATTTAGGAACTACATCTGGAATCAGGGCATGCAAATTTAAGCAGATCTCAAGTATGAAATCCAGGGGGTTCAAACTCAAGAGTGGGGCTACTGCCCTCCTAGTCTCCTATTAATGGCACCCTTGTCCAGTGAGTCTGTTGTCTCACCTGTGTCCATCTGCAATGGAAAATATATGATCAAAATAAATCACAAAGATTGAAAATACAGGCTTCCTTTCCCAACGGATTACTTTCCTTTTTTATTGTTAAGACAGCAGTAGATATTGAAATATCTTATGTTGTTGCTTGAAAATTGGAAGGCAGATGATTAGCAATAGTCAGATAGAGAAGCTTTAATAATCCAGAGAAACAAGCATTTTAATAATGGTCTATCCTCTCTGATTATTACTATTCCTTTTAGTAAGACCAAGACCAAATTTGTTTTGAAATTACCATATATCCAAGACTGGAGAATGTAAAAATTTGGTGGCTGAGACTGTTAACTCTTATTTAAGCAAGTCTTCCCATTCAGTCAATGACAATATTTACAGCATTAAATTTTGCAGGTTCCAGCTTCTGATCTCCCCCAAATATATAGTATCTTTCCTGAACACTAGTCACTGCAAGAACCATTGTATATCTGAAAAGAAAACGCCCATATTCAATATCCATTTCTCTTATAAAACTTGGCTCGTTCAACTACATCATTGGCATAATCATTGTGGGTTGTGCCAATATCCATTCCAGCATAGGTTCGGACGTTTCCTACTCCTGCATTGTAGGCAGAAATCCCACCTGAAACAATAAAAGGGAATTTTAAAGTAACAGTGTTAAAATGAAAAAGCACAAATAATTCCAGACAGATCTGTCTTGATTTAGCTTATTACAAACAAAATAAATGAAGAATTCATGCATAGCCAATGTCTTTATTAGATAGATAGTATCAGGAGCTTTAGAGCAGTGTTTCTCAACCTTTTTTTTTTGCTCCTGGCCACCTTCTGAGCCTTGTTTACCTCTGTGGCCCCCCTCATAGCCACTGTTAGTTGAAAAAAAGGTACATAAGTTACCTAATGATCCGTTTTTTCCATGTGGCCCCCTAGAGGTAGGGTGTGGCCCCTTGGGAGCCATATGGCCCACAGTTGAGAACCACTGCTTTAGAGAGCACAACCCACTTCTTCAGATGACAAAATATTTTAGCATCTGAATAAGTGGGTTGTGCCCACAAAAGCTCATTGTACTAGCTATATATTTTTCATCTCTAAGGTGCTACAGGACTGTTGTTGTTTTTTAAGTTTCTTTAGTTGAAGACTAACACAGCTACCCCTCTGAGACTGAATAAAAGAAGTCTGAATCCACCCACGATCAGGGAGCTTTTTGGTTTTGATGTGAGCAAATGTCAGTAGCTTGCTGAACCATTTGGCTCAGAACGTTCAAATAGAAGCCCTCCATCTTTGTACCAGGCCTGTTCTTAATAGAACATAAGACCCAATTACCATGTTACTTTACATTCAGCCCTACAAATAACTATATGGGAGAAAGTGAAAACATGAGCTTGCACTTCATTCTTCTCCCCTTTCTGAATCTCTGCTCCATGTTGTACCACACAGTTTTGCAGTCCCCTGAAGCTCTGTATACTTCCTAAAAATGCACCCACACCCACACACCTACAGAGATATGGGGTGAAGTTTTGAATTGATTCAAATAAACTGCAAAACTCTCATTGCCTTCAAAGGCACCAGATTTCATTCATGGCGAAACAGTAGAGGCCCAAATGTCAATATAAACTAGATTGGGTGGGTGGGGGCAGAATTTATGAATGTTCCCCATCTAGTGTTGGAAAGGAAACCCATGCTACAGAATGGGGAAAAATGCTAAAATTGACTAATCTAGTTTCACTGCCCAAACTATGCAAAATAAGAAAATAGACAAACAGCATCAATAGTTAAAAAAATAATACAGGGTACTTGGAATAATAAGCAGTAAAATGTTAAAAATATCAGTAACAAAAAAAATCGTTAACGTGATTTTTGTGCTAGAAGTCCCCTTAGCTTCTGTCCGGAATACAGTCTATACTGTACCTTTCAGCTGTTGTTCCTTGGTCCATTTAGGGAACTTTCTTTTGATTCCATTTATCATACTAACAAGGATGCCTGTCCCCTGATTGAGATGTTCCTGGCTATTCCATTTTCCAACTGGTCTATGGGAGCGTTTATCAACCTAGAAGGGCCAGAGAGAACATTACTTCTGAAAAAGATAATGTGTTTATACTATTCTTCCCTCCCAGCACACTGTACATAACTTAAAGTCTCAAACTGCAGTTGAGAAATTAGTCAAGTTTTCATCTTCACGGTACTTCTTGTTGTAATCCCAGCATAAACACTGATGAATAATACACTGGATAGTGCTAATGAAAAAGGATTTATTTTAAAATGCATCTTCTTTGCCATTTCAAGTTATAGTCATTAATTAACTGGCTAGCACTGAGCAATGCCTGCTGCTGCTGTATATATGTCCCACTGGTCCTGCCTCAAGAAGCATATACAATGAGGGCATGGAGATCATCAAGGGGCTAGACTAACATGGCTACCTGAAGTCTGAATTCTGAGGGGATAGCAGAGACATCTGTCTCCATCCACCCCTAAGCCTTCTAAATTCTCCCCCAAATTTGGAGCACAATTTCCCCCACCCCGAAATCTAAACATTTAAAAGATACCTCACTGACAGTATTTCTGGCTCAGAGCATGAGCTTCTCAGCTTCCAAGACAGTACATAGCAGCCAAATCAGGAAAAAATGCCAAGTACAGAAGAAAATCAAACAACTACCAAAATGGACATTTGGGAGTTGATCCCTGAGATTAAGGCTACAAAGTTAATTTGACAACAAGTAAAGAAGAAAGTTACTGCCTTTGAAGAGCTAAAAAGTCTCATGTTAGTTTGTAACTGTAAAAACAACAAGTAGTCCTATGGCACCTTAGGTATGTCTACACTGCAAAATTAATTTGAAATAACAGCCATTATTTCGAATTAACTTTAATAGCGTCTATACATGCAAACCCCTATTTCGAAATTATAGGCAGTCCCCGGGTTACGTACAAGATAGGGACTATAGGTTTGTTCTTAAGTTGAATGTGTATGTAAGTCGGAACTGGCTCCAGATTCAGCTGCTG